CTGAAGGGGGCGGAACGAACGTCACGCCCACTCCAAAAGGGGAGGAGCCAACGTGGCGAACGTCACCTGAAGCGATTTCCGAAGCAATTTTCTCGCTTCGGAAGCAACTTTAGGCAGCGCGAGTTGGGCAGTCATACAGTCGGGGGCCCCGCAGCTGCTAGGTATCATAATCTCACCAACCCCAATCTGGGTGGACGGTGCCTTTAATGATGTATTACGGTGATCCAAAAGTAAGGGGCACTTTAGTTTTTTGAACATTTTTTGAGATCTCTTTCTGATTAGCTATAAACACAGAGCAATTTTTGAACGCTTTTGTATAAGTGACCTTCGCAGGTTATCCTGACAGCACCTTGCAGCACCTCACTCACAACCCTTCGAGCGGCACTCCGAAGAATTCGGACAGACTTGTTGTGAACGCCATCCGAATGTGTGCTGCTGTACTCCAAAGTCCCTAGTGATGAGCTTGAAGTGATGAGCTTCGATTTTAAGTGCTTATAAAATAACGCCATGTGACTGCCCATCTGTAGATAAACCTCGATCAGAAGACTGTTATGTACTAATATCTGCCGAAATCTGGACTTCCAATTAGATTTTCTGCTCAAGAAAACTGCATTTATTCCCTAGGTGCCCCATTACTCTTGGATCACCCTAATAGTAACGTGCAATTACCTGCAACTTCCAAATTCGTAAGCTAAGACAATGGTGCACATGTATTAGGTTGTGTAACAAGTTCTTTCCCATTTTTTTGTTTTCTTCTCAACATCATTGAACTTAACATAACTTATAATAACGGGCTAAGGTTGTTTACGTGTTTTTGTGTGTGTGTGTGTAAGTCTGTCTGTCTGTCACGAAATTCGTAGGGCGTGTTCCAGCCAACCTCCTGAGCCCAAATTTTGCACAGCACATGCTACCTGCATGGGATTCCACTATACAAAAGCACGAGCGGATCCGTTGCGTGGATCCCTCAAAAAATGCGCCTCTGACGGATCCACTTGGCTTTTGGCCAGTAAAATTGAGCGTGTAGCACGACTTTTTGCAAAATCAAGGATAGTTTCACAAGTTAGTATGCAAGCCATGGACTTTAGCCTAAAAAATTGAACCAAAGTTCATTACTTCGCGAAAACGGCGCAAAAATGTATAGGTTGCGTAAATGTTCAATTTGCCAAGGTTTTACCCGATCATTTGAGAAGATTTTTGCACAGAGATGTGGCCCACGTTGGTTATTGCATCTTATGGCGAATACCAAGCTGTGAAAAGTCCAAAAACCGATTCAAATCTGCATTTGTTCTTACGGCAAAAGTTTCGTTCATGCGAAATTACCGATCTCATATGAAAAAGCTTTCGGAATGAATAGTTGTTTACAAGTCATTCGTAATAGTCCGCATAGCGCGGTGAGTCTCAATGTCACTATTGTGCGGGAATGAGTAAAGCGTACAGATAGTAGGACCAGTGCGAGCCTCTGCGAAGCAGAGGTGACGCACTGGTTTGAGATAAAGTGTTTTTGTACGCTTTTGAAAGCACTAACAAGGGACGATACTTGTTGTCCGTGGCCTTTTGAGATGAGGCGTAAACCATTACACTCGTGTTGAAGCGCTGATTCCGAATCTGACTTTCATTTCTGCCAGTCGTTTCTCTGAAAAAAGTTACGAAGGATTTTTGCATCAAAGAAAACAAGGTCGGAATGCCAAAACCGCCTCTACGATGTGGTGTGGTTCCTAGTGCGATAGTCTCATAAGTTAATGCAGGTTTAAGTTCGAGTCAGGGCCCGGCACGAGGTCGGCAAATGACAAGCTGGAAATCGTTTTGGAGCCAAAAAGCAAAGGGAAAATCGTTTTTGCCGGGTCCGGGGCGGAGCCCCGGAAAAAAATTGGTAGTTCATGCTCGCTACTTATCTTGACATGTTATGTGCCTCAACAGGCGAACACTGGAGTTCGCGCGCGTCAAACCGCGCCGTCGCTAATTGCCGCAGGCGCGACGTCGCCCAAGCGATGCTATTTGTAACAGCATACATGACTAGTTCTCAATGTATGTGTAACGATATGACACCAAATTTTGTATGCAAACGGAGAGAGGCTAGTGGAAACATAGTATGAAAAATTATGAAAAACTTATGTGAACGGAACGAGTAATTAGCATTTTTTCCGAGAATTTCGCAAAACTGGTAAATGAAGATGTGAATTCAAACGGCTCGTTTAAACGCGCAGATGAACGATATGGTATGAAACTTGGTAAGTAAATGCACACGGGCTTGCAGGGCTTAACTGAGGAGTTTCATTGAAAAATTATGTGACTGAAGGTTTTGGCAAACTTTTATCTGAAAATTTTGCGCTACCAAAGAAGTGGAAAAATGGCTCGTTTGCAACGCAGAGGTAACGAAATCGCGCGGGATTCGGTGTGTATATGCGCAATAGGGCTAAGTAATAAAGTATGAAATATTATGAAAAACTTATGTGAATGAAGAGTTTCCTTAACTAATTTCCAAATTAGGTCGGCATTTGCCGACCTAATTCCCACCTGAGGTCGGCAAAACTCTCAATTCACATAATTTTTTCAAAATTTTTACATAAATATGTTGTACACCTAAAGTTTACTACATGGTGAAATTTTGGTTCCGAAACTCCTCCTCTTGTCCTTGTTAGAGCCCAAAACCGCATCAGCAGCCTAGCTTTCTAAGACGGAAAGCGCGCCCCAGTCAATCGATACGCGCGGGAACGGCGTCTCTCATTCCTATGACTGCGTTTCTTTGATATTTTCTCATTCCTTAATCATTTTTCTTGCTTATTTTTCTTCCTGTTTCCTATCTTGATACAGCTGAGGAGTAATTTGAGGAATTTGAGCAATTTGTTCGCTTTTGAGCGCTTTTAGGCGAAGTGTGGCCGGTAATCTCGTCGCACAAGCACAAAACGTCATTTTTGGGCTCAAGGGGGTATTCGTAAAATTTATTGGGATCAAAGGGGAATTCGTTCTGGAAAACCCCGTTTTCCCACCTCGTGCCGGGCCCTGGTTCGAGTTCTTTTGCGTTTCAGTTTTGCATTGCCTCAACCAAGCTTTTTTTTTGTAAGTTAGGCATCCTCGGCCTTATTTCTCTCGTGCGACCATTGATGCTAAAATACTTCATAACTTCTTGTAGGGGAACGATTAGCAGAAACGGAAGTCAGATTCGGAATCAGCGTTCCAAGACGAGGGCAGTGTTATACGTTTCTTCTCAAAAGGCCACGGACACCAAGTATCGTTTCCTGGTAAGTGTGCTTCGCGGGCTCATACGCATCATTCCCCCACATAGCGAGAATTCAAAGAAGATTCTCATCATTAAAGCAAATCCGAAGAGTCGAAAAATCAATTTCCGACATCTTTTTTCCTCCCAATTTTTTTTCGTTTTTCATTGGTAAAGCTCTTTTAACAAGGTTGACGACAAACAATTAACTCTATTAACTCTTTTTATTCTGTCAATGTTTGTGCTTGTTCCCTTCCTTCCACCGACTATTTGATGTCATTATTTTCAAAAGTTGGCAAAACAGGACTTTGGCACGTCGATATTCGCCGTCTAACGTACTTAGGCTGTTTGATTCCTTATAATCGAATTTTTGTGTAATTAGCCCATGATTCTGTCTCTTCTGGATGATCCGCTTACCGTCCCCTCTCAAGATTCCTTCAGGTTCCCAACGTCAGCGTTGAAGAGTCAAAAAGAAGATTTTTTTAGAATTTAAAGGAACGGCGAAAGTTTTCATCACTCCTGAAGAATCTATAACATTCTTTGCTTATGCACACCAAAATCTTCGAGCTGTTTCTTGGATTCTACTAATTTGGAGGGTCGTAGTTGTCAAAAATGGATTTTCCCTGTTTGATTTTCCAAATTCGATGTTGTAAAACTTTTTCAAGTCCTCTGATGTAAGAAAATGAAATAAAAATTTTAATAGAGCAAGCTTAGAGCTTTTATGCATATGTGCAGTTTACAAAACATCGCGCATAATATTGAGAAAAAAAATCAAAAGAAGGGACAGAACTTATTGTTGATACACAATCTAATAGAAATGGAGGTTGTATCATTTGGATTTGAGTTCAGAGACCGTTTTGTTAAAACTGTCTTGCCGAGGCAACTTTGACGGAATCCTTTGCAATAAGGATTGTGCTCAAACCTACATTTTTAAGAAGCAAACGCTTGAAAAATTTCACACTTGCTTCTAATAGCCCAAAAATTTCGAAAATTTCTTATATAATAAATACGGCAGTCTTAACATCCAATGATTTCCAACCTTTTGTGTATCTTGAGCGAAGTAAGCAAAGAAAAGATCTCGTGCTGTTTTCTTGTTTTCAAAGCGCGAAACTTCAAAATAGGCAGAACTTGGGAAAGACATTCACAAAAACCCCAAGGAAAGAGTCAAAAAGACTTTTAGGTGCTGCTTCTAAATAAAAACGTAGATTGCGTTAATAATAAAACAATTTAGTCTTGAAAGATAGGGGTAAGTAATAGCTTCTCCTGCCTATGAAAGGGAATAAAGAATATTGTTAAATAAAGAATATTGTTGAGCGCTGCATATTCAGTTGTGCCTTTTTTGTCAGTGAAAATCATCAACAAATTGACAACCGCTTGACACACGCCGTGTTTCAAAGCTTGATTTTCGTTAAAATGTTCTACTATTTTAGATCAACCTCCTCTCCCCCCCCCTCCTCTCTCCGGTATCTTTGTGTGTTGATCTAGATAAGACTTCCACTGTATTTGCCAGCATTCTAGCGCTACTGTAGATGTACTGTAGATAGAATTATGTCTGATTTTATCTGCAGAATGTTGACTAGTCCTTGAAAGGCCTTAGTCGTCAAGTGTTAAATAATTCAAGCGAACATTCTCATTTCGCTATGCTTGCTGAGCTGATTTTTGAATGCGTGTGTGCTGAACAAACCACGTTATATTCGTTCATGAATTCAGTGAATGCTTTTCGCTAAAGTGTGTTGACAAACGCAACAAAAGTTTATTTTGAGTGGCCTGTTATGGCTCTCAAGAATCACTGATACCGTAAGTGTTCCATGCACTTCACGACGCAATGGTTTTCATTTTCGCTAAACTCCTTCCGTAATCGTTTACTCTTGCAGATTCTTCTGCACTGAAAGTAAAACACTTAGCGGAAATAATCAGTTGATTCAAAACGTACCGTATCAAGCTTTGGGCCTTCTGGTAATCCAATTAGACTTCTAGGCACACGAATAGCACTAACGTGCAGAAAAAGCGCGGCGAGTAGTAGCGTATACAGCAACTTCATTTCCTATAATATCTGTAGCTACAATTTCGCCCAATTACATACTTGAGCACATGAGCAGAATGGATTTTCGAAAATCGAATCATAATTTACCAGCCGCATGGTAAAATCGAAAATGATATTTCTAAAATTTCATTGATATGCCTGTTAGCGTGTGTCATAGTGAGGACCAACAGCATTGAAAAGAAGTAAGGTTTTGGTCGTAAGGACGAGGTGTTGGATGAAATAGGCAGACATGGTCTACATGGTAGATAAACAATATATTGAATAAAATTCTGTAAATACACAGTTAGAGAAAAAAACCAAGATTATAAAAAGGAAACTTCCAATTATAATTATTCGCATTTCCACCATTATATTTATTGCAATAAGTTTTTGAGAATCGTGCAAAACACTAAGGTAGATATCACATTTTGTGCATGTAAAAATTACGCTTCCTATACTTCAAATCAACATGTACATGTAGTTGGGAATATTTTGATTCATAACTTCGTTATCTATGATATCCTTTGAAAAATGTATTGAATTTAAACTATCATTCAATTACCAAAATAATATCCTTCGAAAAATGTATTAAATTTAGACTATCATTCAATTACCAAAAACAAAAACAAAGAGTAAACAGCTTTGGTCAGACATTATTAATACATTCATGGAAGTTAAAAAGATTATATCATTTGGACAGTTATAATTACACCTGGGTTTATGACATTCTGTTGCGAATTTTCGTCTCGATATCTACTAAGCTTTTTTTATAACAGGGAGTTCCACTATTCAAGAAATAGATAGTAAAAAGCCTTCATTCAAAAATACTTTGTTTTCTGCACACTCGCCAAGGCTAATTCAGAGTTGGGATTATTTGCAAAATTATGTTTTTCTACTATACTAAAAGAATTGGAAACAATCGATGAAAGCAAAAACAATACTCCTACAAAAGTTGGTAGTCGCATACCTCAACGAATGTCAACTTTCCGACATATCACATTCTCTAAGAACTTAGGTACATAAAATACCGGATATGATAACATGCCTGTTATAGGTTGTATCTCAAAGCTATATAAAAATCCCATGAAATTTAGATTTATTACTGGTATAATAATAGTACTGAAGGCATCGCGGTATATTAGACCTTTGCTTCTTAAAAGTACATTTCAAAAATTACTCGGAGAGTGCATAGAAGTAAACATTGTCTACGAGCATATTGGTCTATATGACATTCACTTCAGAACATTTAATGTCGATTGACATTGAAAACAGGAGTTATTTGCAGCCGAATCACTATAATTTACTAGGCAATAATCTCGCATTATTACAAAAACCT